GCTCCCTGCATGCCTGCCCCCTGCATGCCTGCCCCCTGCATACCACTTCCAGGATTTCCCACTCCTGATATGCTTGGGACCTGTCTATGTCCCTGAGGGCCACTTGCCCCTATATTAATGGGACCAGGTGCCTGGATTCCACCAGTCATAGGGCCTCTAGAACTACATCTTGGGCCCTGCATTTCTAATCCTCTTGCATCCATGCCTATTGATTCCATCCCTCTGGTTTCCACAGCACGGGTCTCCATTCCTCTTTGTTCCATTACTCGGGACTCTAAAACCTCAGTTTCCATCACTCCAGACTCTTTACCTCCTCTCCTATCATGCACAGAAGGGCCACGGTTATCATGACCAGAGGCATGGTGTATAGGAGGACCCTGATGGGGTGGACCCAGGTAACCTCTGGGTTCTACTTCTCTAGTAATGGAAAGCAAAATCCTTCTATTTGGGTCATTTGGAGCATCTCTTAATAGGCCTTGAGGAGATAGGCCAGCAACATACTTGGGGCCATGAAGTATAGGAGCTCTAGGATCTGCCATCTGCCCTTGTCCAGGGACCAGGCCAACCCTTGGCCTCCCAACTTGTGGCTTCACTGCCCCTCCAGGAGTTAAGGAACCAGGTCCAGGTCCAGGAACTGTAGCTGCTACTGGCCCCGGAGCTGGAATTCTACCCTGGATAGAAGTCTGCATCAGAGGAGGAATGTCTTTCCTGGATCTTTTTGCCAAAAGCTGAGGCCGAGGGGCTGGAGGATTCTGTTGGTTCAACAGAATATTGGGTCCTGGGCAAAGCCCAGAGCCAGGGCCAGAAACAGGACCAGGGCCAGAGACAGAGTGAGATTTGCCTGGGATCTGTGGAGTGGCACATATCTTGTGATGTAGAATTTTCCCGGCAGCCTCAGGATCTATGATTCTCATGACCACTAGTGCCTGCACCAGCGCATATGCCAGTTGTGGATTTTGAAGTAACATGTTTCGAGCTTCCTGGTGACTGTTTTGCACACATCGCTTCATCTGCTTCATCAGCTCAAAAATCTGCTCTGGAGGAAGACTGGCCACTGCTCTGGCAATCGATTCTGGGGCACCTTCTGGATCGATGGGATCCCCATAAGGAGAGTCAGTGATGGGCCCCGCAGGCCCGGTGTTGTTTAACTCCTCCTTACTCTTCTCAGTGGCAGCATTGTCCACCCGAAGCGCTCTCCCACTGACCTCACGCCCGTTGAGGTTCCGCATGGCACTAAGCGCGATTGCCTGGTCTTGGTACTCGCAGAAGCCATAACCCTTGGGCTTTCCTGTCTCTTTATCATATACGAGCCGGAAACTGACAACGGAACCAACCTCCGACAAAATGTCCTTTAACTGCTCCTCAGTTGCCTCATATGGAATGTTTCCCACGAACACGGAACGCAGCGTTCGATCCATTGCCGGGTCTGTGACTTTCAAACTCGACATGACTCTAGTTTTCCACACAGCCGATAGCAGGTTCTTCAAAGAGTGCGATATTTATATTTTCTAAGGTCTTCTTTACCTAAATGGAACAGTTTTTACAAAGTTCTGTTTATAATCAATGTGGCGTACTCGAGTCTCTTATCATGCTAGGTATCTTATTTTGCACTAAAACATTTTTTGTCATTAGAAGTATTTTAAATACTTAATGATATATTATAGCAAGTATGTTAATAAGAATTTGTTTAAATATGTGTTTTTTAAATGTCTTCTGATTTTGGCTGCGGATGCAAAGTAATTAGGTATTCTGAGGTTAGTTCCTTCTTGGAATGCGCATGCCTTGTGCATGAATCTTTTTCCTCTGGGCTACTGTGCTCAGTTTAGAGTCAACACTCAAATGAAGATAAAGCACAAGCTTGATCTGCACAGCATATATGAAGTTCTCTCTTAAAATGTTTAGTTTTCACCCTTAGGAGTCTTATAAGATTTGAGCCGATTATGGGCCTAGAGGCATGAATGGATGGTGAGGGTGGTCCTGAGAAGTGTCAGCATTATCCTGCTTGGTCAACATGGGATTAGCTTCTCCAGACATACTAGGAGACACTGACACCGCAGTGGGGGGAGGCGGCAATGCCTCTGCCACAGAGGGTGGGGAAATCTCTTCCTCTGGCAAAATAATCTCATGAGCATCTAGGAACTCAACATCCTCAACCTCCTCAGAATCCTCCCACACATCTCCATCCCATTTTATGGGATCCCATACTGTTCTGATCAGTGCCCTCCCCTTTATCTCAGATACCCTTTGAGGCTGAGTGTTAAATTTATGTTGCAGTTCAGCCAATCAAATTATGAGGGACTGCGTCTGGGTTTCTGCAATCTCAGCGGTGTGGCTAAAAGAGAGGAGATTTTCTTTCAAGACACACTTAGAAATTTAAATATCTTATCTGTGTCTGGAGATGAGAATTTTCATTCACAAGTTTGTCCAGTGAGGCTAAGACCAGCCAGCAACATTGTTATATTTCCTACTTCCAAAGAAATTAAAAATTTCCATGTATGGAATCACTAAATTTATGATATCTCACAAGTGGTGAATTAGGATAATCAAATAGATCTACACGGCATATTAGTTTAAACAGTTTCTGCCAAGGATTATCAGTACTCTCCACAGAATCGAGAGAGACCATGGTGTCTTTCGGTCTCATCAAATTGCAGAGCCAACTCCAGGAACCATTAAAGAATGCTATCATTATAGTCTGTTTCTCTAGAGCCACTCCCGGTACCAAAAGCTGTATCAGTCAGGGTTTTACTGGCAAAACAGATATAACACAACATATACAAATGTATAAGAAATTACAAAATTGGCTTACAATGGGCAGCTGCAGATTTGGATGAGGAAATGTGCAGAGGGCGTCTGCACGCTGGAGATCAAAGGAATCAGCCCAGGGTCTGGAGTTCACTGCAGCGTTTCGTGCAAGTCTGTATGAAGAGGTCTATGGGTCTGCGATGGAAGGCTGCTGAGTCTACACCAGAAGGCTGAAGGATCCAAGGCAGAAACCAGAGTCTGCACTAGAAGCCAGGAGACAACGTCCAAGCTGAAGGTGAAGACTGGAGCTCCTCAGACAAATGGAACCTCTCTGTCCTTCCTCGTTCCCTTTTATATCATCTAGGTGATGATCCACCCTAGGGTGGCTACTCTACACCCTAGGGTGGCTCCTCTACACCCTAGGGTGTAGAATTACTGAGCCACGTTTAGTTAAGCTTCTAAACTTCTCAATTGTTTGTTTTTTTTTGTTTGTTTGTTTTTCTCCGGTACCGGGAACCGAACTCACGACCTTGTGCTTGCCAGGCAGGCGCTTTGCCGCTGAGCTAAATCCCCAGCCCCCAACTTCTCAATTGTTGACAAAGTCAATCAACCACTACAATGACCAAGGATATTAAACAATTTTTCTTTTTCTTTTTTTTTTTTACTGGGAATTGCTCTGGCTAATGTTTCCAAAACTATATTGAAAAAGACTGGTGATAGTGGACAGCTTTGTCTCTTTCCTAATTTCAGAACTAAAGCTTTCAGTTTTTGTTCATTTAGTATGATGTTGGCTGTGTGTTTCTCACAGATGGCTTTTATCAGATTGAGGTGAAACCATCTATTCCAGTTTCCTGTAGGATTTTTATCATGAATGAGTGTTGGACTCTGTTAAATCTTTTTCTGCATCTATTAAGATGATCCTGTGATTTCTGTCCTTGGCTCTGGTGATATGGTGTGTTACACTGATTGATTTGTGAATGTGGAGCCATCCCTGCTTTCATCCCAAGATGAATCCCACTTGGTCATGGTGTATAATCTTCTTGATGAGTTTGCTAGTATCTTATGGAGGATTTGTGCATCTATGTTCATTAGGAATACTGGCCTATAGTTCTCTTTTTTGGTTTGGTCTTTCTCTGGTTTGGGTATCAATGTAACACTTGCCTCCAGGAATGAGTTAGGGAGAATTGCTTCCTTTTCAATTTCATTAAAGAATTTGAGAAGTATTGGCATTAAACCTTCTCTAAATTTCTCATAGAATTCAACTGTGAATCCATCAGGACCTGAGCTTTTCTTTCTTAGAAAGTTTTTCATTATGTTTTCAATTTCATTGACTGATATTGGGTTACTGAGGATTTTTACATCTTCTTAATTCAGCTTTGGTAATTCATACATTTCTAGGAATCTGTCCATTTCTCCTGTGTTTTCCACCCTATTAGAGTAAATATTTTAAACAGAAGTATTGATGATCTTGTCAATTTCTACAGGATCTGTAGTGATTTCACTCTTTTCGTTCTTCACTGTATGAATTTTAGGTCTCTTCTTTCCTTTTTTATAAGGTTGGCGGGGTTTTATCCATTTTATTTATTCTTTCAAAGAACCAACTGTTCGATTCATTAATCCTTTGAATTGTTTTCTTAGTCTCCACTATGTTAATTGCTGCTCGGATCTTCATAATTTCCTCCCTTCTTTGGGCTTTTGGCTTGCTTTTGTCTTCTTTTTCTAGAAGTTTGAGGTGCAGCATAAGATTTTTTTATTAGCACTCATTCTGTTTTCCCTGGTATGAGAAGTCACCACTATCAGTCTTACATTATGTGTCTTTGCTTCATTTTGCAGCTGTTGAATTGTTACTTCCTGGTTCCTTGTTATTTTTCAGAGATTGTTCCTTTCATGATCACTAGCTGCAATGTTGTCTTCAATGTCTGAAAGCCTACCTTTAGTTTCATTCAAGCATTTTTGTCAATGGAATTTTTAATTTCCTGGATATCTCTTTGTATCTGTTTCATGCATTCCAATTCTTTCCTATATTGTTCAGTCAAGGTTCCCACCATTTTTCTCTGAAAATTTGGTTCTGTCTGCAGCCGCGGCCCCACCATTGTGCAGAGCCCTGGGATGGTCAGAAACTTGGAGGCCTGGATGTGGCCCCTGAGCCGTCCCCTGCACCAGGCACTGATGGCCACATAGGCAGTGCGGGCTCCTCTCCCTCACACCTGGGCTGCTGCCCCCAACAGCTGGGTCTGGTCTCAGTCCAACGGCACCTGGGAGCACGTGGAAGGCGAGGGAAAGTCAGAGCGCAACTTCCCGATGCTGTGCTTGGCACTTTCTCATGGTTGCCAATCACTTAATATCAAGAGTGTAATACAAACTATGTGTTCATGATGTAGTATTTTCATGAAATCACCAGATTTTAAGAGCAATAAGTTTAAGGATCTAGGAAACGTATCATTATTTTTGTTTTCAATCAGAGTGAAAGTATCTTTAATAATATTTTAAAAAGAAAGAGATTTGCAGAATTTGCCATAGCTTGAGTGGCCTTATTAAAATAGCCACAAGATGGCACCGGTATTTTATTTTAAGGGCTGTGTGCAGTAAGATAGTGGGAGGATTCCCTTTCTTTTTGATTTTTGTATCTTCCCAGTTGGAGGGAAAGCCTTAGTATTACATTTAGAGTCTGTACATGAAGACCTGAATGGGAACTCCACTTGTTGAGCCCTAGCTACACTACAGAGCGAATGTTCTGCTACTTTCCTAAACATGTAAGCTGAAATGTCAGTGAGGGGTTCAGAGGTGCTAGAGTTGAAACGTCTAAACCCTGGGCTTCTCACTCCCATATTTGTGGTATTTGTTTAGTTTGACATCAGCAGGGGTTTTTTTTTCTCCTCAAAATACAACCATTCAACATCTACTATTACTCACAAATGAGTCACTAAAGTCTAGTTTCTGAAGGAAAACATGTATGTGTAAGGTTTGGTTTTCTCTGGTCTGCTGGCTTTAGATGATCCATTCTAGATTATTTAATTTTATTCAGATTACCAGATATTCAGATATGTAGATTAGCAGTGTTTGTGTGACTTTAGAATGTCAATTCAAAAGAGTTTCGTTAACGACTTTACTGTCAGTTTTTCTGTATGACTCTGTAAGGGAAATTTAGTTTTTCAAAAATCTCTGGCAAATAAAAACAGGCCAAATGTTCTTGGGCTCCTCCTCTATGTTTCAGTTGGGCAGTCAGGGCTGCAGACCCTGCTCCTGGTACAGCAGTAACCCGGCCCAGGAATGATGCGCTTCTAGTGAAGCTTGTCTCAGAGCTCTTTCTTTCTGCTTGAGCCACCCCTTTGGGCCTTTCTGTGCTCTTCAGGGTAGAACCCTTTCCAGGATGGGGTCAGCTTTTTACACTCAACCACGAGCTCCTTGGAGGCAAGGACTGTGACTGATAGAAACACTGGGTTCTTAACGGACACTTGACTGTTAGGGAACATTGGGTCAGAATAAAGGCGTTGAGCAGGGCGTGGTGGTGCATGCCTGTAATCCCAGCACTCGGGAGGCTGAGGCAGGAGGATCGTTGTGAGTTCGAGGCCAGCCTGGGCTACAAAGTGAGGTCAAGGCCAGCTTGAACTGCATAGCGAGACCCTGTATTAAAAAGACAAAAAACAAACAAACAAACAAAAAAACAACTCAACACATGAAAAAGAAAAGATAATTAACTAGACCAGACAACTTGTTGTGCCATGATGATAAGGAAGTGAAGGATAATTTAAGTTTCATTTAGATCACAGAGA